AAGTACTTGTGCAGACTTCTTCTCTGCTCGTTTAGCCACAGAAACTATGTTGTATAAGGCTTCAAAAAACTGGCGCACATTAGAATTAATGAAATCGAATTATGGAAATATTGCATTAGATTATGGCCCGTAAAGCTCGGTCAGGAGAAATGATCTCCTCTGGTCCCCACATGTGAGGTTCATTATGCAAAATGACGATCGGCCACTTCCTCAAACTATAGGAATGCGACTTCACGTGACATGTGAGCTTCAGGCGAAGTTTGGCAGGGAGATCATCTTGCGATCAAGTCGGATGATCCCAGCGATGATCGTCTGAAATATTGTGTTAAAGGTATTAAGGTTTGCCTTTTGAATGCAAGAAGTTTGTTGGAAAAACTCCATCATTTACAAAGTTTTTTAAATCAATATAAACCCGATATCCTTTTTATTACTGAAAGCTGGCTGACAAGCAAAGTCAATGATAGCGAAATAGTAGGGAACTTACCGTATCTCGTTTCTCGTTCAGACAGACATAACCGTAGAGGCGGAGGTGTCTGTTGCCTATTGAAAAGCACTCTTCTGATTAAATCAACTTTTTCGGATAGTAGCACTATGTCGAATATTCTCGGTATTGACATGTCGCTTTCTAGTGAACCTACATTTTTGCGTTTCCTTGCGGTTTATCGACCTCCCAATAGTACCCTTGAAAGTGATGAACACCTCATCGAATTGATGTGTCATCTCACCAATGAGTATGAACACACCATTCTTTTAGGAGACTTTAATTTACAAATTGATTGGAGCAGAGTAACGCCTCTGAACAAGATTTCGTCTACTTTCCTTGAATTTTTTCGTTACTCGAATTTGACGCAGCATGTTATGGAGGCAACCCATTTATCCCATGTTTTGGATCTTGTCTTTTCCACTAGCCCTATCATCTCTGGTGTTCGCACTACTGCTCCCCTTGCAAACTCTGATCATAAAGTAGTACATTTCATTATAAAGAAAAGTATCCCTCTTGCGCTCTCTCTACCTAGACCCGATTTTCGGAGGGTTGATTTTGTTTCTCTCAATGCCCATCTTGCCGCAGTTGATTGGTTGAATCTGTTTGACCAGTATGAATCGACTGACGACGTTTACTACAGATTTTGTTTGGTAATATATAATGCTTTGTCGATTTTTGTGCCTTTCAAGCCTGCTACCCAGGCTCACATGAGATACCCAATGCACATCCAAAATCTTCTCGCACAGAAAGAACGCCTATTCTATTCTCTGGCAAGTCCATTATCTAGCCCCATGTATAAAAAAGTGTGTCGTGATGTTGAGGTTCATCTGAAAAAATTCTTGTCCAATTACGAGCGAAGGCTTTCTATGAAATCCTCATCTAGATTCTTTTTTCAATATATTAACGACAAAATCAAACGTAATCGTCGTCTGCCATCCATAACTGGTCGAATGGGTCAAATATTTGTCACAGATTGCGAAAAAGCTGAAGCTCTAGCGCTGCACTTTGCCAGTGTATTCAATTCGAGTACTCGTAATTCCGAGATGGACTTCTTCACACCCACTCCCGTTTATCACCATTGCCTCTCGAGTGTTTTTTCACCTCCTATGATGTTTTGAGGTATCTGATCAAACTTAGACCTTCTTTCACTGAAGCCTATGACGGGTTACCGCAGATTCTTTTCAAAAAATGTGCATCATCTCTTTGCGTCCCACTCGCACACATATTCAACATATCTATGATGTTAGGCGAGGTTCCACAGATATGGAAAGAAGCGTTAGTAACGGCAATTCCCAAAGTTCCTAATGCGTCTTTTCTGACTGATTTTCGCCCTATCAGTTTGACTCCAACAGCAGTAAAAGTAATGGAGAAGGTTCTGCGGGATAAGCTACTTACATGGCTTGAAAGAACCAAAACTATTCCACCCAGTCAGCATGGTTTCATGGCAGGGTCTTCCACAGCCACCAACCTTGCTGATTCAGTTTTTGATTGGACTCTAGCTTTGAACAGAGGTGAATCAGTAGACATTGTTTATATAGACCTTTCGAAAGCATTTGATCGAGTTGATCATAAGAAGCTTGTGTGGAAACTGGAGCGAATTGGTGTGAGTGGTAACCTTTTGAAATGGTTTGAATCGTATCTGTGTAATAGAGCCATGACAGTCAAGGTAGGGCACTATTGCTCGGATAGACAAGCTTGTGTTAGTGGTGTTCCACAAGGAGCAGTTCTTTCTCCATTACTTTTTCTGGTTTATACCGCTGATCTCCCGTCGATCTTGAGAACATCCGAGCATATAAAAATTCAAATGTATGCGGACGATATTAAGATCTAAGGGAGCTATAGCGCAAAAAATCGTGATGAAGTTAGATCTGCAATAGAGCATTCCCTGGAAAGAATGATAGAGTGGGCATCATTCTCTGGCATCCCAGTAAATTTGAATAAATGTTATGTCATGCATTTAGGTGATAACGAGAATCCTGTTTATGAGATAAGTGGAACGGTGTTGAAGAACTGTTTCATTGCTAAGGACTTAGGAGTTCTAATAGATAATGACTTGAAGTTCTCGCATCACATTGACAACGTTGTTAATAGAGCATACTCAGTTCTTTTTTTTATCCTCCGATCTGTTCATACCGACAACCCATTGATACTGAAGCGTTTATATAAAGCGTACGTTTTGCCTCACCTCGAATACTGTTCTGTGATATGGAATCCTTTTTCAAAAAGAGACATTTTGAGGTTAGAAAAAGTTCAACAAACATTTACTCGCATTTTGTTTCTGAGATGTCGTAAAAGATTAGCTTTCGATGAAATGCCTAAATATGAAGAACGCCTTAAGTCTTTGGCAATGAAGAGTCTGGAATTTAGACGAACTTATCTAGATCTTATTTTCGCTTTTCGCCTCCTTCGTAAGGAAATTAGGCTTAGCGCAAGTAAGTACTGGATTTTCAGACCTAGTAGTAGGACGGGTGGGTTTAACATTCATTACCCACGTATTTATAGGAAACGCTTTCTACGAACATTCAATACTCTTTTTTACAGAACACCTAGATGGCTTGGCAGGCTTCCACTTTCGACGTTATCATCTGTTGAATCAGCTGCTTTTAAACGTAGATTAGCGCAAGTTGACCTATTACAAGTTAAGGGTTTTCATAACTACTGAAACTATTTTCGCTTCCCGGTTTTTTTTCAGGAATGTCGCGTCCCTTTTTTCTGTCGTCCTCCAACACGACACATAATTCCACATAGTTTTTTGTTTGTTTGTAAAGTGTGGTGTTATTAACATTTGACATATATCATTATTTACGTTTTAGTTTTTTTCCTGTCACTAACCCCAATTTTCTGGCCGACCACACACCGCTAGGTTCGTCGTCCTGAAACTGACTTGAGAGTTTTCTTGGAGAACTTGACGTTCATGGACCACATGCTCCATGTCTGAGGGAAATTGCTTCATACATACATACATACATACATACGCGTCTGGCTTTTCCCCTGCTACTGTACTGGGTGTGTGGTCGATTGGTTATCTGCTGTGTTTTCTGCTCTTTTTTGGCGCACTTCTAAGTGCATTTAAATAAATAAATAAATAAATAAATAAAGAGGAGACTCTATGTCGCCGAATGTGAGAGGGTCCCGCGCAGACTTCTTGCAAAAACGCCTGTGCATGTGCAAGGGTGCAGGTTTGTCGCAAATGACCTCCAAATAATGTTATTTATATTTCTGCTGATTATATGAGTTTTTTGAAAACGACTTTTGTGTAGTTGCAGTGTTTTGTATAGCAAATACAAACATACCAGCCGCTATCTGCCCTCTACGCGGCAGATTCGGCTGTTACTCGGCAGCTTCGCTGCCTCGTACACTTTTTATTTTAATGCATACTAATGTAAGATCAAGTCATTTGATTGCCTGTTCGGACAAATTACTTCTGTTTATGACCTGTTTAGATCGACTGACCGAAGACATAATTTTGTACCTGCAAGTTTATTGAATCAACATCATAAGCAACAAATAGTATGCAACTAACAACAACATAGAATGGCTGCAACAGTGACTACACCAAAAAAGAAGATGCCAACAACAACAACAACGATAAGTACAACAGAAAAGGCCCAGGACACAACAACAGTAACAAAGGAGCATTTGTAACAGCAAAGATAGAGTGTAGAACTTCACAGGACTTTGGTGAAAACGACGTTGACTGGCTTTGGATTGGCGACTTCCACAATGAGACCTTCACGCGACCTCGAACGGCTGAGGGTCACATAGAGTTTACCGTGGCTGAAGACATCGGTGGGAAGCCACAGTCCAACCTTGCTGAAGGTTTGGCCTTGGGCCTTGTTGATGCTCATAGCGAACGCCAATCTGACGGGGAATTGGGAGCGCTGGAGCCTGAAGGGCAGATTCTTGTCGTCGTAGTTGTGGATCCTCGGAATCACGACAGACTGCCCATGCCGATTACCTGTTATGAATTTGCATTGTATGAGACGACGGCCCATATCGCGGACTTGTAGTCGTGTTCCATTGCATAGCCCGGATAAAACATCCAAGTTCCTAAGCAGCATGACGATGGCGCCCTTCTTCAACTTGAGACATTGCGGCGGCAAGGAGGAGCTAGAGATTCTGTTGAGAAACTCGGTAGTATAAAATTGATTCTGGTCGTTAGCGTCGTCGGTGACAATTTCATCGTGTGAATAGTAAATCTTTTCTTTACCTTGTATGCGGCTTAGAACTTGTTCGTTTATGGAATTCACGTCGGCGTTTTTGGAGGCAAGGATAGCCTGATCAGCCAAATCAACCAATGGTTCGATGCAGTCGCCATATAGCTCCTGGACTATATCTCCTCGACCCATGATTTCCGCTTTCAGTTTCACTCGTCCTTGGCTGTCATTGGCGGTGCCGTTGCCCACTCGCAATAGAAAGTCCTTCCAATCCACATCGCGGCTCGTCACTCGCATATTTTCGGAAAGGCGGAGCACTATGAAATGCGACCAAAGGGAGGATTGCTCAATGCGTATGCTTAGTTGGTCTGTTCGCGATCCGCAGCGAACAACCGGTAAGTTCTGCCTGAAGTCGCCTCCGAGAAGGACCACTTTTCCGCCAAAGGGCTTGTCCACGTGCATGTTTCGCGTAGTACAGCATCCACCCTCTCAAAAGCCGTTTTTGAGATCATAGAGGCTTCGTCCCAGATGAACACGTTGTTTTCGCCAAGCAGTCTCGCGTCCTTCATCTGCCTTCTGTGGGATGATGCCTCGCAGTTGTTCAAGATATTTAGCTTGAACAACGACACCGTTGTGCAACCCGATGGGAGCAGGTTGGCCGCGATTCCTGTCCACGCTGTACACGCGACTTTGCGCCCTTGACCGATGAGGATATTAAAAAGGTATGTATAGGTCCATGTTTTACCTGAACCGCTGGGACCATCGATGAAGAAAAGCTTTGGAGCGTCTGAGACATCAAGAGCACCAAGAATGGTGTCAAGCGCTGCCTTCTGCTGTGAATTCAAAGTCCCATATAAGCGATTACCTTCGGTTGAGCAAAATGCAGTATCATACGCGTGAGTCGTGGGACGACGGCTCAACGACGGTGTAGGAATGTTGAATGAAGCAATGTTGATATTGCTCTTGATATTTCCCTCCTCAAGGTCGTAATAGGCTGCGGCAATGGCCTCCTCTTCGGACATGCCTTCGTGAAGGTAGTCGTCGATGAAATTCCTCTTAAAAGTGTTCCACAACAACGCCGGGTCCTTCACTTTCATAAATGCAAGCACAGAGACAAAAAGAGCCCGCATTTGCAAAGCTGTAGCGAATAGCGCAGCTTCCCGTAGGGTGGCAATGTGGGGTTCCTCATCAAAAAGTCCTAGAGCTGTGGCTGCAGCTAAAAGGTGGGATGTACAATGGCATTGCCGTTTTCGTCGACGACAGTACGCAGTTTTTCAAATGATGTGGCTCCGCGAACACATAGAAGAAGATGTCTAAAAGCGTATCGCTCCGTGTCGCGAGGAGATACCGTGTACATACGACCCAGCTGACTGCCTCCTCGACGTCGAGCAGTCCACGTACCATCCTGCTTAAATGTAAAATACGTAGGCAATTCCGTGTAGAGATAGCGATGAATATCGATGAACCCTGCTGGGATCGCAGCGCTGTTTACGGTCGCTTCGCAATCCGCATTGGCCTTGAATCACGCAGTCAATGTAGTGTGACGTACAGCCGCACGATGGATAGCTTGTTACTCCTCTCCAGCTCGGAAGGTGACCTGCTGTTCTCGAGGTAGATGGACTGCAAGGCGATAGACTGAGTGAGACTTCTTATCTACTCTGTACTCCAAAATGTGATGCATGGCTTCGGGAGCGCAAACGTAACGCGCGTCGAGGTGAGCAGTGATCTCATCGATGACATGGTCATCTCTGTCTTCTGCAGCGCTCGGCCTGCTGAGGCGGATTGAAGCGGCATCGTGTCCCTTGTAAACGTATTTGTACAGGTACTTAACGGCCTCCACCATTGAGCAGATCTCCAAGTTGATGTTCGCGTTGAATGTCTTTGAGAGGAACGCATTGTATGGGACCACGTGCCGGTTGTCTAGCCTGACATCGTTGTACATGACGTAGTGGCCATCGTTGGGCCTCCTGTATTTGGGGTAACCGTTCACCTGTAAATCGGTCGTATCGCAGAACTCCTTGGTAAACTTTTTCGTGCACTTGCCATCACGCATACAAGGTGACTCCGGGTTATGGATTCCGCAAGGTGCATCATCATTGTCGTAACAAACCCGTGCAGAACTGGGTCCTCAGCGGGGTCCGGAATGGTAGCGCCGATGAGGCGATCAACGTCGGCTGTTGTGCGAGGTTTCGAGTCGTTGTCCAAGATGAGAAGGAAGTGCGTGCGTGGCAACCCTCGCTTCTGCCACTCGAAGACTAATACGTAACCTACGACGCGGCGGAAAACGTGTTGTGTGAGAAGTAGCTCCATGAGGGCGTCAAACTTGCACTTGTAAACTCTCGCAATCATGTCGGGACGGTCGGTGGAAGTCTGTCCTGGCTGAAGGTTCTCTTCAAATTCGCGCCATTTTGAGTTACATGTAAACGTTATGAAAAAGTTCGGCTTGCCATATTTTGCGACTATGGTCATGGCGTCTTGGTAGTCTTGTAACATAGAGCGCGGACTTCCTTTAACCGTGGCTGGCAGGATGATTCGCTTGCCCGGTGGTCCATTTCTACCGTCGTCAGTGGAGATGAAGTCGAGTAGCGACTGGTAGTATCCGCTCGTAGGTCGGCTTGACGAGTGCGGATGTAGTTGAAGAGGTTCTGCTGTACGGTTCTGCTGTAGTTGTACGGTCGGTGAGTCAGCTGTGTGGTCGGTGAGTGTACTGTGATTGATTGCTGCCACGCGGGACTTACGCACAGCGGGTGCACCTCAAACTTGGGTAATTAAACTTTTATTACTAAAAGCAACTAATGACTACAATGCGACTACGATAACAACAGACAAACAATACAATATGCATATATGTCAAAAGGATGTGCTGTGAGTTGCTGTGAGGGTCCTGTGCGGGGGGCTGTGACTGCGCTGTGAGGGTCCTGTGAGGGGATGTTGACAGATATGCTAAGAATAGATGAATCATTGAAAGTACCAAATAACTGTAAGAAGAAAGCAAAGAAGTAAAATGGTACAACGCGACTAACCACTACATATATATACTCTGTGAACATAAACAAACTAAGAACAAGCATGATAAATGGGTTGATAAGCTATCAAAGAACATATGCTGTGGGAAATCTTCGGGCCTATTCCCCCTTGCGCGCCGTGCATTCCTCTTGCATATCTGTCAACATCCCCTCACAGGACCCTCACAGGTCCAAAGAATGATACGAACCGCAAGTTCGTATATGCTCCGTCTTATAAGCGTCGACAATGAACTGCTGCGTAAGTGGGCCTTCGTGATGAATCGGATTGAACTCGCCAGGCCTGACTTGAAGCAAGTAGGAGTAGTATTCCCTTTATGCGGGAGCGTCGACGGGCGTGATCAATCTTCTTCAAATCCGGGCAATCAGATATCAAAGGGGATCGGCAAGATTGGAAATGTCTGAGATCTTCTGAACTGCGTTGCCATATGGATGTACCGCAAATTCTCGATGGGCGGGAACGTCACCGAATTCGCCGACGTAAACAACGGCCATCTCGTTGCATGTAGGAGCGTTATAGCGACGACGGTCGAGGGAACGGTCCATCTCGAAAACCATACGAACTGGCTCAGCACTGCGGTCCTCCCTTGATGCGGCAGCTTCTTCTTTCTTAAGCACCTCGTCCATCATCTTGTAGGATCGAGCGAAGGGATTAACACGATGTATCAGTGCACTTAACGACCGCATCACGTCGAGATCACATTCCGAGTTCGCAGGGTGGAGGACTATATGTCGCCGAAAAAGGGCGGTCCTGGCGGTCACTTGCGACGAATACGCACCCTTGTACATGCGCGGACATGCGTTCCTGCAGGGAATCCGCGCGGGACTCTTCCAAATCCGGCGACATATAGTCCTCCACCCCGAGTTCGCAGGGTGACCGAGACGCTCCGCAGCTGCTTGTGCTGTGTCCAGAATGTACAGCTGGCCGTACGATCGCGGCGCCCCAGGAGCGGGATGAAGAGGACCGGTGTAGTGGTAGGTTTGGCCGTGGATTTTGAAGACCCAGGGACCCTGACCGGAAGGCAAGTCGACTTGAGCACACATTGATGTCATCGCCAGCGCAGAATTGAATTGACGTGCTTTGCGGCGAAAATTCCGGGATGAATCGTTGTTGCTAATGAAAAGCTGTTGCAATTCTCTAAGGAATGTGGCGAACTTGTCTTCGATGATAATGTTGCCAAAGTTGCAGCACACATTGATCTTATCACAGCCATTAGGGACTTCAGCACGAAAAAATGCGGCGCTACAATGGAGGCAAATAATATCCAACTTGCCGAGGTAGTGCTCAGTGACGGAAGGCATATCAACAGATAGGTGTTGTTCATGATATCGTTCACGCATAGAGGCAAGACGTCGATCTCATGCAGCCGGTGTCTCATGGCTACGGCGAAGACGGCTACGCAAGGCTTCAGAAGTCCGTCTTGCACCAGTAAGGGCCCGGGTTCTCTGTGCGATGTCTATCTGCGACTGAGGAGTGGAAATGGTCTCCTCGGATCGTCCTTGACGTGTGACCGCATTCGTCTTCTGAACGCATTTTTTGAAAAGTGGTTGTGCTGGCGACATTGAAGGTAACTTACGCCCATAGGGCAAGTTCTCCTTGGGCCTTTGGGTGCTTAATGGCCATATAGAAGACGGTTATGTGCAGCTGCGGAGCTCCGCCTTACGCCACGTGCTCGAGTTCTTGCGCAATGTGCATCTGCGAACTGGGAGTGGAGGTAGGTGGCGGTTCAAACATTACTTGTTGCCGCGAGTCAAGCGTAGAGATCGTTTGTGCTGTGTTCGTTGGCTCGTAACCTCGTTGGGCAACCTGTTCTGGGCTCGCATGGATTGATCCAGTGTCTACATGTGCCTGGATTGATCCAGTGTCTCCTGAAGGTGTCCTTTGAGCTGTGGTTCCTGTTGCCGTCAACGAAGATGACGTTTACGCATTGAGGCAAGAAGCCGTTCTCGTTCCTCTGGTGTTTCTCGGCTACGACGAAGGCGGCTACGCATAGCTTCAGAAGTGCGCCTTGCTGCGGTACGGGCTCGGGTTCTCTGGGCGATATGCATCTGCGACTGAGGTGTGGCGGGGGACGGTCCGTTGCTGGAGGGGGTCAATGTCGGCGCCATGGTCTCGAGTTTTGATTTGTTGGTCATAGTTGATCTCGTGGATGAACCATTTTGATTTTGTTGATGAGCTAATCAGTCGACGAAACCCGTTGCGAAAGGTCAACGCATAGTTGGATATCAGCTAGCCTCCAGAATGTGGCATACAAAAAATCAAAAAAAGGTAAAAAAGTTTAGTGGTCAAAGTTGTAGATATTTTGCTCAAATTAACTATGCTCAGTTATCCCTTCCTGCCAGTTTTTAGCTCAACAGAGATTAGAACATGAAAAAATCGATAAATCGATAGCGCCATTGAGTGATTTTTTGTGAAAAAGCTTAGTGACACCCGCCCCACCCCGATCTCCATGTGTGCCAAATTTCGTTTGAAGTCAGCGAAGTTTTCTAACATTTTAGGCCGGTCATAACGAACTTGCTAAGCGAAAAACGCAAAAAATCGATAAATCGATAGCGCCACTCGGTGATTTTCTGTGAAAAAGCTTAGTGATGCCCGCCCTACCCCGAACTTCATGTGTGCAAAGTTTCATCCGAATTCTTCGGTTCTTTGCACCCTTTCAGGCCGGTCATAAAAAAATGCTTATCCAAATATTATACGAGTATTGATATGCAGCAAATCGTTAACTCAAAAGGAGACATATCCAATGCATGTAGTTGTTGTTGTATGAGGATTGGAGAGACGGTTAGGAGACGCGATTTTTCCGGCTTTGACTAGCTCAAAACTCCAGTTTAGTGCTTTGCGAGTCTTTAAAAAGTACCAGATAAGTGCATTAGCTTAATATCTGTCTGAGGTCACCACTTGCTGAGTTTCATGGTTTTTTGTTTTAAAGCGGACTGAAATCTACGAAATTGTTCTTGAATGCATTTTAAAGGGTTTTTGACCTTCAAAGTTGTGTTTTGAATTTTTTCAGAGTATAAAGATTGAACAACCCATGCAACTGTCTAATTATCTTCTTATTGATTTCATATACTTTAAAAAGTTGTCAACACTTACTATGTGCTATTTGGTGTCAGTTGGCAATAAGAATTGCGCCTCTTACATACACCCGCCTACTCTCCTATTGCAAGATAATTTTATGCTGTGCCGCCACTATTCGTCTAGCAGATATGCAAATCGAACGACAATTTCGTCATCATGCGGCAAAGCGAACGATGCGTGCCAATCACAGCTTTTATTTTCTTTGGCAAGAGGAAGTCGTTTCACCTCCTTCGATTCTTTGAACCACCACTATGGCTTGCATAGTATCACCGAGGCGGCTAATCTTTTCTTTTGGACAGGGCGCGCAACCGGAGAAATCTATATGAATTGACTAGCCGCGGTACGAAAGAAAAGCTCTTGACGACGAACAGGCAGCTCTTTTGGAAATGGGAGATTTCGCCACGTCTTCGGCAAAAGATGTTGGCTAACCAACTTTGCAATCTTGCAGAGAGGTATGCCATTTGCAAGAAGAGAAAATCGACGCTGATTTCAAAAATTACCCTTATAATGCGCGAAAATGACTTGACTTGAGAGTAAGATCGTTCACGCCAAGGCTGAGGCGCTGATGCACTGGGATCTTTACGTGCGGTCTGCACCTTTCGCCGCAGAACAGGAGATCTACAGTGGGCGAGTCTCTTCCTTAGGGCTTGAGTCTCTCAACTTTGCAAGATGATTTCTCGCTTCCGGTCTAATGTTATAACTTCACACTTGTGCAACAGCGAGCTTGACACACTGACGACCAAGCAAATATTGCGTTGTCTGCCTATTGGGACTAAAGCCTGTAACGGATCAGTCATCTTTTTTCACATGAAACTACGCTATAACCACATAGTGACATCTACAGCACACCTGTAGCAGCTCTGTGAGACCGACAAAATAAATGGAGAGTATTTGCAGATCCAACGCAAAAGGAGCCTCAAGTTTGTTTCAGAATACACCTAAAGCCACCACCTAAAGCTCATTCCCATAGAAAAACATGGATTCCTAGCAGGATCTTCCACCTGTTCACAGCTGGTAGATTGTTCTTTCCGTTGGAGCAAGGCATTAGGAGAAGGGAAAGGGGTGGATGTAGTTTACTTCGATCTTAGCAAAGCCTTTGATACCGTTTGTCATGAGTGCCCTTTGGAGAGATTGCGGTGTATAGGCATAGAGGGCACTTTACTGGATTGGTTTCGATCCTATCTTGAGGATAGAAAGATGATAGTGCGCTTCTCTCAGGACTTTTTCTTCCCTAGGGAATGCCTATCGGGCGTTCCACAGGGAGGGATTTTGTCGCCTATACTTTTTCCCATATATACACAAGATTTACCTGCTTTTCTCAAAACGGATACGAGGATTTTTGTGCATGCGTACGCAGATGACATCAAAGTCACTGCAGTCTATAGTGAAAGAGAAAAAGAAGCAGTTCAGCAGGCTTTGACGAAATCTGTCGAGCGTATGTTGCAGTGGACGAATTTTTGGAATCTCAAAGTCAATTTTCGTAAAAGTCAGCATCTTCCCATAGGATCGCTTTCACTGAACGTCTACAACAATGAGCTAGGTGATATGTTAGTGAGCAGGGAAATTCGTGATCTTGGCGTGCTAGTTGCCAACGGTTTGAACTTTGAGAGCCATATTGACGCGGTGGCGGCGAAGGGCTTGAGGGTTTTGCAATGTCTTTTTAGAAATGTTTCGAGTTCTGATCCTTCTTTGGATCAAACTTTTCAAAATGTTCGTGTTGCCACTGATTGAATACTGCGGCCCTGTATGGAGTCCTTATCGCTCCAAGGATATTAACAAAACTGAAAGTGTGCAGAGGACGTTTACCAGAGTACTCTACTACTGAGTCTTTCCGGACCCAAGCTATCTGCAGGGTCTACCCCCATAAAAGTTCGCCTGCGCGAGTTGTACCCCAAGAATCTTTCTTACAGAAAGGTAGAAGCAGACATGATTTTAGCCTATAAGATTCTCAAAGGGGAACTTCGTTTGAGGCCCTCAAGCTATTGAGCGTTTCGTCCGGTGTACGGACGGCATGGCGGTTTTGCCTTTCGACTCAAGCTACTGAGCGCTAATCGTCTGAGGTGTACGAGTTCCTTCTTTTTCAGAGTCGCCAAATGGCTGGGACGTTTGCCTACTACTCTTTTGTGCCTTAAAAATTCAGCACACTTCAAGATTGCCATCCGCAAATTGGACATTCTACTAAGTGCTAGGCATACGTGACGTGGAATGAATCATTTGTTGCTGTTCTTTTTTACCACTCGCTTTTTGTTTTGACTGTATGTTCCCTGCACTGCAGTAACGTGAACAGGCTACCTTTTGTACGTTTTACTAGCTCTCCCATGTCTTTCCAGAGTTTCTCAGCTCCGGGTGTACCTTTCCTCAAATAGCTTCTCTCACTTTTCATTACCTCTTCTAGTACCTCCAGTCAGGTTCTGTAAGGCTTTTTGTTCGGGTTGTTTCTGACCGTTCCACTACACTGGCGGTAATACTAGTATCTGGGGGCGTTGTGTTGTCTTCTTCCGCCACTCCGGTCTGTCATGGCGGGTTCGTGGGGAGGAACGGGGGTTTTGGTGGGCGGTGGTGCTGGCGGCCCCCTGCCAGTACACCCGTTTTGGCTTATCTGGCATAAATAAATAAATAAATAAGTAAATAAATAGTCTTCATACTAAACTTCAGGCCTAAGGCATACTTTACGCGATTCCAGTCGCTGCGCGATGTTGAACTTCAGCGACTCTTCGTAAAACTGGTCGTTAGCGCGCTTTGCATAAGCCAGACTTAAAGCTTCTGTTATAACTTACGATAGTTACACGCCTATACACTTAGGAGCCGCACACGTTTGATCTGTAAATATCTGGCAAACTGCAAAGTCTCGTGGATGTAGCGATTTGACGAAATCGCGCGAGATATGCCTTAGGCCTTAAGCTTGACACACTGTGTGTGTCAAGCGATCGTCAATGTGTTAAGAGCGTCCGCTTTCACATTGCGCTAAAACTCCACAACCGTCGGCCTCGCTCGACTGCTTTTAATTCGATTATGGTAAACAGGACGAAGAAAAACATCGAATAGAAAGAAGGAACAATGTTTATCAGCCATGTACAACATGGGAAATATTCTTCTCAATGAAATTTTGTATGAATAATGATTGTAATCTGGTTTTCATTTCGAGTTTTATGTCTACGCAAACAGGTTCCTTCAATTTAACTCTGCTGAAGGTTCCAAGACCTCCTTCTGCAGCCCTTACGTAAAAAATTTTCAAAATTTAGACATCCAGATGAGTTTTCTGGTTGGAATTTTGGCTTGCTGTGTGACATCTATATTTTTCGGCTCAAGACTCGTATTCTTGAGGGCATGCAACGCAAAAGATGGTCGGTTGCCTTTTCTAGCATAGGGTAGATTTCTAGATTTTATCGAGTCTTCTTTTATGCATCTTTGCGCAGTGGGTCACGGCAATGGCGATTCTGTGTGTGGGCTTCTTGGTTTTCTGGCAACAAGCTTTTCCTGGTTTCTATCCTCTTGCGATGTTAGGAGGATTCTTTTGGGCCATAGGTAAGTTTGAAATACTATTAGGTTGTCCCGAAAGTTTTGTCCGTTTTTTCAACCTATCATAAAAACGCGTGGAACAAAGATAGGGAAACGCTCTGAGCACTATCCGACGCATCCTTTCCTTCTCTTTCTAAATGTCATGATTCCATGCCGATTAATCTTTTGTTCACTGAGATAAACGCCGAAAATTCGAACCCATGTTTACTGTGTCCAAGTTTGGCAATTTTTCACAATCTTTATTTTTGACTTTCGGAAAAGCTTTGGCAGCAGTTAGATAGAGCAAACAAAGCGCAATATAATGCAATTTTGTGGCTTCTATAGCCAGCCTTGAACATCTTTTAGAATTATTTTTCTGATGCTATCAAATTCTACTTTTGATGATGCCAAAAGCCAGAGATCATGAAAACGGCGCACAGCTAAGGTGTTATTCCAAGCTTTTCCTCCTCTTTCCAGTAGTGTATTTTCTCTCCAATTTGCGGAGTCTCTGGCAATAAAATTTTCATAATTCTTGAATTTGACCCCACCCCAGCGTGTACACGTAAAATGCAAAATCTTATATTTCGAAGCGGTAAACGCTCATTTGCTTCGCAAAAGTAGTGAATAATCGTATCGGTTTTTTAGAGCTTCAAAATCCGATGATTTGTTAGTTTCGAGGCGTTTTAGAACTTCGCAAAAGTGAATGAAAAAAAATATCTTCAAAAACATTGAAAAGCCAGCTAGATATGCCAAATAATTGCATTGCATTGCGCTTTGCTTACACTATCTGAGAGCTATCAAAGGTCTTCCAAAAGTTGAAAATGAAGATTGTGAAAAATTGTCCAACTTGGACAAAGTAAAAACCATGGGTTCGAAATTTCGGCGTTTATCTCAGTGAGCAAAAGAGTAATCGGTATGCGGGCTTGACAGTAGAGGAGGATAAGATGCGTCGGGTAGTGCTTGAGCGTTTCCCTATCTTTGTTCCACGAATTTTTATGATAGGTTGAAAAAACGGACAAAACTTTCGGGACAACCTAATATCATCAATTCGTATGTGAACCCTCACAAGTACGGAATCTCCATGAATTTTGTTCCCTTTGACATACCATCAGCGTCTTCCACTCTGAACCTTTACAATCTGAAAACGCTGTATTCACTTCTATAACGGGAAATTTTATTCAAAACAATCTAGGAAACGCACCTGCAGCGCCTGTCATGCATCGCATAGGAGTATCTGTTGGTCCTCTGATATGGAATAGCGCAAAATGCATCACGGGGTGGTTCACAGGACGGTAGGTGCCACATTTATCCTTTACCACGTTAAGCTTTTTTTGCAGATTTGGCTTGCTTGGTATGAAGCCGACAATACCAGCTAGCAAACCTTTCAACTACGCAGGACTTGCATTCGTAATTCTAGGGTTCATTTGATTTGAAAATAGGCTGATCCTATCACGAAAATGAATGCACGAAGAGGAGGAGGATTCTCAGTCAAATTACCCATTCTATAATAGTTGAGATGCATACCGTCTTAGAGAGCATTAGATGCTGATTTCGGATTCATCTTCCGTATTGGTAGAGCGCCTCTGGAAGAGAAGGTGTGTGCGTCTTAAGTCAAAGCTGAAGGCCTAATCAGAATAGAAACAATGGTGACAGCCTTTCAACCCGCAGATGAAATATCGACGAGCACGAGGATAGCGATCGGAAGATTTCTTTTTATAGAGAAGATTAATAGTCATCAGTGCTCGGGCTTATGTGAAAATAATAATTTTTTTAACTTTCTAAATTTTCGCTGTCCAGAGGCGCTCCGCAGTAAGGAAAATAGGTTTGAAATCAGCGTTCAATGCCCTTCGAAAAGGTGTGCGTCACTTCTGGAAAGGCCACCTTGGCTAAGGATCCTCTCCTTGCCAGCTTGTAAAACAATGAAACAGCAAAGCAGCGGTTGTTGCAGGGTACACTCCGGGAGGGGCAAAAAGAAGTTTCGAAATGAAGGGACATATACATATCTGCAGCTCCCGAGATGCGAAAAGTCCTTCAGACTTTGGAAACCTGTAATTCTAGAATTTTGAGACGGGCCCAAGCTTAATTTTGACAATCTACTCAAAGTAGTCTCAACATATTACATATTGAATACGCATGACACAATTCATGTGCACCACATTTCTGTGCATTCATTCACGTGATGGTTCAGATGTGTTATTTTTTCGTTGGTAAAAATTCAACCATCCCATCAGCAGCAATCCGAAAGTGAAAAGAGTAAGGAATCGGTAAGTTTCAAAGTAATAAATTAACACTGACAATGAGGTCAGTGTTTTGATTGAATTTTCAAGGAAGAAAACGGAAATGCTATGTCGACTGTCTCTATTTCTCTTACAAGAGAAGACTCGCGCGAATGTGACCAAAATATTGGGAACAAAGAAAAAGCACTGTGATTTTAAAAGTCGATATTTTCATGAACTGACAAAAGATTCCTTATTTAGATGTTTCGGCATAGCTGTATGTGTGGGTATTTGCTATGGACTCACATTCGTTCCCGTAGTATACATTCTCGATAATCCAGACAAATACCCAGATCATCCAAAGGAAGCGCTTGCTTATGTGTTCTCAAATTTCTTCGGTATTTTCCTTACTGCTAATGCTATATTCATCGCCTATGCAGTGAAGAGGTGAGCCTTTTATTTTGAATGTTAGTTGAGAAGAGAATAAGATTTTAAGGGGCAAAGAAGCTTACGTCCATACAGAAATTGTTCTGCCATCGTTCTTATCAGGCTTGTCGTGGGCCATAGCTCAATCATCGTTCTTCATAGCTGTTCAACATCTTTCACAAGCAATCTCTTTCCCTATCGTCACTGCTTTGCCAAGCTGCATTGCTTCTGTTTGGGGGATAGTCTACTTCAAAGAAATTAAGGTATTGACTGAATTGTCGTTCTTCTAGACTGAATAAATAAAATTTTAGGGCCGTCGCAGCATTACAGTATTTGGCATTGCTTTTGCAGTATCAGTGATTGGAGCTATAATGGTTGGCTTGTCGAAGGAGATTGAAATATGATATGCGCGAAAAAATGAATTCTTCGAAAATGAATGAATTACAGAAATAGTGCTTACATTATATATTTGTTTTCTCTCGTATTGAACTTGGTCCTTTCCTTCAAGCAAGAACACGAGTAAATTCAAGGGCAAGAGTTTCGCACTGAAAGAACAAATAAAAATCATATGGTTTTCAGAACTATAGAGACTCCTCTTCCGAATTGGAGCATGTGGCCCCGGAGGAGAAAAAGACTACTTTTACAATTTCCATGTTCCGTGTTCTTCAAACCTTGGCACTGTTGTAACTTTTCAAAAGTTACGACTATTTCACATTCATCATGCAAGAAACGTTGCCTCTATTTGGCTGAGTGAAGGGGTGAGGGTGAAAGAGGGAGGAGTAAAAGTGGACAAGTAAATTATTTTCACTCGCAAACAATTAAATCAATCTTTACATTTTCGAAAGATGCTATTCAAAAATCTTGGAAGCGGGCTGCCGAAATTTTGATTAGCGGCTCAAAATTTTGATTTGCGGCTGACACTACTCCCTTACGAAATAGTCTGTCGCTCCCCGGCCGCCAAAAAAACTACTGGGACCAGCCAATGATTCGAGTTCATGATTATTATCATTGAGTTCGCACTATTCTACACGCTCCATTTGCTCAACCAATCAACAACCCCTAGTCTGACTACTTGAACGCACTATCCCTAATTCCTTTTTCGCCAAGCAGCAAAGATAAGCATTATTCGGTAGACTTTATAGTTATATTGACATTCATTACTGCGACCACTGCTCGGGTAAATTGTGTTAGAAAAAAGGAAAAGTACAGGCAACGTACAGTCATTAATGTCATTTGCTCTCCAGGCTCATAAAAACAAAAATCTAAAAAGACTCCATAAAAACGGTAGAGGAAAGATTACAAAGACAGCATGATAAGATTGAAAATAAGCAACTGTTGGATACATAAGTTTTGTTAAATTTTCTTTCCCTCTGAAAAACTCTAGAAAATTCAACAAAGTCTCAATTTCGGCGTATGTAGGGAAAGGATCAAGAGATCATTGGCCACCTTCAAGCGAGAGTAACAGTAAATATCAATGCACTTTATTTGGGCATTCTAATTTCCACATTTACTTATTCGGAGATTCTCTCACTCGTCTTTTTCACATTTTTAGATTTATTATGGACTTTCGGGAGCATCAGTAGAAATGCGAAGACAGTTCGAAAGTTCAGGCTCTTTGATAACACAGGGGAAACTTGTCAATAATTCAAAGAAATTTTTGATCAAAAATTTGATCTTTTCTGTTTGACAAGTATAAAACAAAATTCCAGCATCTCAGAATTTGGAAATGAGGAAAATACTATTTTGAATGTCATGAAGATTTCCGTTGAATATTTTACAACTTATGTAAGAATTCAATACGTTCACTTGTAACTGTTCGCTTCATGGAATGGGAATTCTCAAAACTGATTGGAAATGCAAAAAGAGTATTGAATATGGCAACACATCTGCTATGTTGTCATTTCCTATCAATTACGGGTAAAAAATAAAGTTGACTAGCTTTACAAAGTTGCGACCACTCTTTGGCGTTTCTCGCAAGTCCATTGTGACGTTCCATCGTCAAGTGCGGAAACTGCATAGACAATTTTAATAGGCACTGATATCATAAATGCGCCATAACTCCACTCGGAGAACGCTGCCCGTTAAGGTCATCCTTTCAGGAGCCGACTGTTTACAGTAGAAGCGCGCACCGATACTTTCCGGATTACTGTAATCAGATTGGCTGTATTTAGACACGTATCGAATTACACAAAGCCACGGCGTCAACGAGGAGCGCGAGCTGAAAAAGTACAAGATTGATCACAGAATGACAGCTAGTTGGCGCAGTATCCGGTTACTTCTCGAGTGGGCGACGATAAGCGTCGAGGGTTTTTTTTTTCGGCGAATCGCTTAGAGTCGATCACTGCTATTTTGAGCTTACCGGCAGGTGTTTCTTAATTCCTTTTATGGAGCTGTAGAGAATGAATATAAGACAGAGAAGTTTTATGGTGCAATTACCAAGTCGTTGAGTTGATTCTGTAGAATCTTCATACTTGCTTGTAAAGAGACAAAGAAAAAAATTGGGACAAGTGGATTTGTAGTCGTTCTGGGGCATTTTCCAAGTTCAAGTTCATCATTGTATTTTGACGAACACGTACACACCAGTTAGTATTTCGCTTACCTCGAAGCCAGCAGCGGTACTCGCAGTGGTTTTAAATATACGCTCGATTTACTTACCTGACACTAACATAAATGTTCAATGTGTTTGATCAAAAGCAAAGCTTGCGTATGCCGGATCATCCGTCTTAACTGTCTTCCCTTACAGCCCTTGCCATACCTTAGCCTTTTGCTTGTGTGAATGTAGCAGTGATTCTCTCGCAAGTCTGTTTTACCGCGGATTTGTAAAGATGTACAGTCGAGTCATCGAGTGATTATGTGTGCCATTGCATGTACGGTCCAGCTTTCTCAACCTGGAATTTTGGAGCAGACAACTCTTTAGGCGAGTGTTTTGGATGTGTTTTTGATGTTTTCCTTTTGAGCACTAATCATTTCAAAGTGATGTAATCGATAAGATCGGTCAGCTTCTTCTGCGATTTCACATCCAGGATGAGGATGCCAAAGACGGCATGTGTGCAGTGCACACATGATTATATGAAATGATTCGTCTATACGATCAAGTAAGATTTCTGCAGAAGTAAGGACAACATAAGCTTGCATTTTATTGAATGGAACTTTCTATACAAAAACTCGAACTTTTCCCCTGTGACGAAGACTCTGATGAAAATCAACAAAACTGATGTACTCGTGGCGGGGGGAATAAATGCGAGAACGAGTTGCGCCAAAAGATCGACTATGCTAATTTGAGCTTAGTGAGACATCAATGCTGTGCAGTGAAGGTCCCTCAAATAATACTCATGTCGTACTGTGAAAGGTAGATAAAGGTGAAAGGTAGGTAAAAGGTAGAAAGGGAAGGCATGAAAATCCATCCAAGAACTAGATGGTAGGCAGCCTCATCTCTAACGGTTCGAGATCGAGCGGAAAGTCGGGCTTCACATAAGCACAAATGTCGAAACTCTTTCTGCCACCATGATAACGAGAGCTTCGACATTTCTATAAATTTAGGTAATTGATTTCTTTACCAGTCATGGTAATCGGCGGTAGCTGCATCTGCAGCACCTCATTTCAAAGCTATTTTCTTGCTCTGGAATTCAGAAACTGCAGCGAAATCTTGGCGATAACTTGAATAGTTTCCCCCATTGTATCGCCAAAATTTAACAATCTTGAACTTGGGTGCTATTGAAATATCATAGAATATCATAGGTAAAGTTTTCATATAATGAACACTCAATAGAACTTATAGACGTTGCAAAACCAGCAAAAAGAAATGTCTCAGCAGCCTCTTAGAGTTACCTAAAACTGCATGGGTTCTTTATTACAGATTTGGTTGGAGTATCTATCAGTGATGAGCAATATGACCTTTACCTTGAAAGATTAGACCGTTTTCCACATTTTTTTGATTGATGAATGTATCATGATGGGAGGAATGAGCGTTTTATTTCGAAAAACTTCCATCTAACGAGCACAGATGACGAGTAAACCTGAAAGTGACGAGACTTTGAGCTTTTTTAAAACAACATTTTTGGGAATCGCTCTGTATAAAGCGAAGGTGCAAACGCGACAACCAAGACATTTCTCCGTTCCTCCTAAATTCCTTGTACTTCGCATAAAGCCTAATTTTGCTATGCGTTCATGTCCTGCGAAACAACAGCAGCTTTCTCACATCAAAAGACTCCTGTATATTTTTTACCACATAATTGCACTAAGGTCCACTTATGAATATAAAATCAGTGAACATATAAATTGAGTGGGAGGTCAGCATACTCAATGCGTATATTGCAGAACACGATCTGAGAGTGTTATCAATTATAATGTTAGATGAAGGAGGTCTAGGAACTTCAAAATCTGAAATCTGACAAAAGCATTATATTCCGTACTTTACAGCCAGTGGCCCAGCTTTCTGCTTCAACTTCCACATCCCTGCACATCATTGGCGTATCCAAGATCTCCGTTCGGGGGGGGGGAGGACGAAAAATTTCTTCTGGTGAAGGTGCGTGGCGTCAGCCACGCACTCCGAAATTTTTTAGTATGCTTTCTGAGATTTTCGCTGACACATAACCCCCAGATTCCAGAAAAGGGGCGAGGCGGCAGCCACGTCCCCGAGAAAATATTTTTTGTAGGGTTAAATTGCAATTTTCAAAACTACATCAATTATTTACAAGTATGAATAAGTCGCTTGCACATCTTTAAAACTCATATAAGTAATCTTCAAAAATTTCGCGACCCACTGTCGGGGGGAGGGGGGAGGTACCTCGGCCCACCTCGGCCTCTACCCTCCCCTCGGTACGCAGTGCGTACCGAAGGGGGGAGGGGCTTGCCCTTTGAATTTATGATTGTACAAAATTCGGACCCACAAGTTCTAACCGTGCAGCTTGGGTTGCATTTCAAGTCAGGTTTGCAGAGACTCCAACAAGAAGAGAGGTCCACTTTCTATAGTTGTCGCAGTCTTGAGATTTTCTTTTTGAATTTTTTTTTCTGCACGGAAAATTAGAAGGGAAATGTTGACAGAGGAAATAGTCCTTAAGCAGCCTGTTTATGTATGTGCTAAATACATTTCCTGCAAGAGCACCCGGACAACGACTTCGTTCATGCTAATCAATTTAGCCGATTGTAGGGGCTTACTCTCTTTTTTTCGAAACTCACTAGTAGCATCTCATGTTTGATGTGTACAATTTAATATTCACATCAAATCTTGGATCTTACGAGATAATGAGTTGAATGAACTTATCACTTGGACGTAACAGGTCTTTTTTGCAGCAGGTATGCAGAAGTCCGTCCAAGTATATTTCATGCTCTTCGTTGTGATCCTACTGGTAGGTGTCAACTCTTGTTACTGAGATTTACTATGTAAACTGGCAATATTTGCAGA